CTTTGACAGATGTCATGCCAGTCAACCCACTTCTAAGGCTTTTGCTTAAGCCCTGAAGTAGCAGGTACAAGGCAGGTCTGATCAGACTGAAGACAAAGCTGTAAGCATTAGTCCTATCAGCTGATCAGATTACTGCACAGGAGAGAGTTACTTGGAAACTTAACTCATTAGCAACTCCCTGCCTGGGGTTTATCAAGAACACAGTGCTTTTTTTTTTTAACTCCTAATTGAGGCCCTCACTGCAATTCTCAGAGAGCTTTCAGTCAGAAAGCAGCTTTCCAACAAGATGCAGTTTCCCCAGCGTGCGGTCTGCAGAAAGGCAGCCGAAGTTATGCAGACACATTTGCAGTCACGTCTCACATCACAGCCAGCACTTGGGCAGCGCTACGTGGGAAGTGTGAGGGTCAGCTAAAAGCAGTTTAGCTCTCTCACCACCTCCAATACGTCAGCATTACGGCTGCACTGCAGTTCAGGGAGTAAAATTTTCAGGAGACAAAGTTAGCTAAACATGATCAGCTTACTTTTTGCCGTTTCTTTTGAAAGCTTTCAGCTGTTTAAAGATACACCTCTTAGCAATTTAAAAAAAATCACACACCTTCCTGTGGATGGAACAAATTCAGTAATTCTGGTGCTTAACCAGTATTTCAACCTCAAGAGCCACAGCACGGAGGCTCAGGGGTATTAAAAAAAGCAATGCCACAAACTCACCTGATTCCTGGACTGGGCCCTTGCAATCCTGAGTCTCCGAGCAGAATAAAAAATAAAGTAGCCCATGGTTGCTGCTGTGACGATGAAAAACGACACCGAGATGAACAGGATGGAGTACTGATTCATCCAAGGCCCGTGCTTCTTCCCCACTTCAATAGCCATGGTCACTTTCATGCCACTCTCAATCCGGTGCAGGATCTCCATGCCTTTCAGGTTGCCAATCATAATTGCAACGATGCTGTCAGCACCTGCAAAGGAGAAGGGGAATCCACGCTTAGTTCCCAGGTGGTGCAGAGCAGTCATTGTCTTAGATGTTCAAGTGCTACAGAACAGACTGGAAAGTTTAAGTAGCATTTTTAAGCGTCATCTCCATGTGTCTGTTCAGATGAAAGGTCTCTCTGATTCCCTACAAGCTGCATAAATGGAGCATATTTAGAATTCCCTTCTCTCCATAGCACTCTTCTCTCCATATAAGAAACACGCTGTCATTATTTTAGACTCAACACTTGTGATTTACATTTTAACAAGCCTTTGAACTACATGAAGTTGAAAATAAATCTGATACAAAGTGAGGTCACTAGGGACTGCGGTACCTCCAGGAGCTAAGGGATCCCAGGTACAGAGCTGATGGCTTAGGGACCCTTCCTGTAACACATCTCACTCCCTCCCTGCCCCCCTGCTACTTCTTAACACCTCTGTATTTGACAGTACTGCTGAGTGCTTCCTTCCCCAGACACTGAGCAATCAAAGCCATAGATCAGCCTTCTGCTGAAGCCTTTGCTTCTGTATTTTCAGAAGCAACTGAGAAATGTTTGAGTGAAATTAGGTTGTGAACTATAAATGTTGCTGTGGGTTTCTAATGCAAATTCAGAAAGAAGCAAATACGGAGGTGTGCTCAGCTCTTAAACAGTTGGTGGCAGATGGCAAACTCCATCCAGATTTTAACGACAGATTTCACTTCCTCGGTTGAACATCACGACAAGCTATCAGAGGAACCAAGGGGTTTATGGCACGGAGACATTTCAAGCAACTCTGGTCACCAAATGCAGACCAAAGTTTCTTTCATTTCAGTGACAAGCAAGTGCTTGAGGAGACTTGGTAATATTTGCAGGAACTTTAGGCAGTCCAAATATAACAGAGAGGGTTTTAAGAGGAAAAAACAACAAACAAGGAGAAAAGGAGATGAGTAATTTGTCACTGGCCTCTCTCTAGACTAACCACAAGAAAAATGGATTTGAAGAGTAGCTGGTCAGGAGTCTTACTGCATGAACCAGCCGCACCACATTCATAGTGGGTATCACATTGGGAAGGAATAAAGGCTGTTACAAACCTGCTATTTTTAGCTAACCTCCCAGCCAAACACCTTTTAATGGTGAGACCAGGTTTTTTTCCTCCATTAAGACAAACCTTATCCGATTTCCAGCTATGAAAAAGACCTGGAGTTGGCATTAAACCACAATGGCTCTCACTGGAGAAAGCGCTTTAGACAACACAGCTAAGCATGATGTCTAGCAACTCTCCTCAGTGTGACTAAACTCATCTTTCATTCAGAAAGCTCCTTGTAATGAGAAGGACATCACATAGAGAAGAGGGAAAAATTAAACCAAACCAGTCACACTGCAACTTCTGTCCTTTGTGATGAACTGGGGCTTATACATCAGTTACAAAACAAGCTGGAAGCAAGGAAAGAATTAAACACAGGTCAAGTCAGAAGCTGAAACTTACGTTCAGCAACATGCATGGAAGAAAGTGTGGAAGAACAGGCTGTGACAGCACGGAAATAAAAACACTGCCAAAAAAAAGCAAAAAAAGCTCATTCTGCTTTATTGCCCTCGCTCCTGTATGTCTCACTAGTCAAATATAGCTTGTGGTTATGTGCAATACAAGATGTGGTGTATAGATTCCCGTTAACAAAATGTCACCATCAGTCTGCAAAACCACTTCAGCTACTAAGCCATCAGTTGTGAACAAGTTTTACCCTTAAAGGAAAGAAAATCCCATTTAAGTTTCAGGCTGATCCGTTCGCCAGGATGTCATTAGATGACAGTTTTAAGTCTTCCTGACATTTTCCCCCCCAGAGACTTCTCTCAGTTTCAGCTCTGCTTTAGATAAACACACGTGAGTGGTCAGCTGGCAGCTTGGACACTGGAGCAACAAGGGCAGAACTGAGAGTGGTCGTTTCCAGCACCACCGGCACCAATCTGCCTGCTTGGGGTGAACCCCTACTGACAGACATCAGCATCCACCTTCAGTCTTTTACTAATGCAAGCTCTTTGGAAATTAACTGTTGGTCCTAAGGCAATTACAGGTGAGCTAACCTGACATCACATGAAGTTAGCCAAATGCCTTGTGCCAACAGCAGGGGAAAGGAGAATCCAGAAACCACATCTAATTTCTGGCCCAGGAGTTCAGTCACTTCAGAAGGTCCTTTTGGACAGGGACTAAACAAAGCTCTGGCACCATCACACAGGACCTGTCACTGGGGTATCACCCTTACCTGGCTGAAAACAAGGCCTCCTTTGCCTTTCAAGAGGAGATTCAATGATGCCCTATTGGCCTGAAGCTAAGACAGAAGCCCAGAATCCACATTTAGGACTATTGCTGTGCTTCTAACAATAAAACCAGTGAGGATAAACCCGCGCCCAACCTGAGCTGCTAGATGGGTCCCATCATGACAGGGACTGAAACACGCTACTGCAGCCTGGAAACCACCAACCCAGACAGAGGCTCCTGGCAGCGCTTGGCTATTTTTAAGGAAACGAGGTATTTAAGGGGACATTTGTGGAGGTGTCTCAAGCACAGCAGCTGCCCTGAACGGTCAGCTTTTTCACCCCCAGACTCCAAGGAAGCAAGAGGAAAGTCAGTTGTGCATAGCAAAAACCTCACCGAAACCCCAGTTCCTCACCTCAGCATCAGCTTTTGTGATTCAGGTAAAGCCTTCTGTAACAGTTTTTAAGGGACATAAGAAGGTGAAATTAAGCTGCTGCCTGTTCAGCTAATAATGGGCTCATTGCTAAACAGAAACAAGACCTGTTTAGTTAAACATTTCCCAGCCTCTCTCCCATCTCCTGTGAAACTGGAGAGGGAAAGTTACTCAAGTCTTTAGACAAATACAATCTGCCTCTGTAGATTTAGAGTTTTACAAAAGGCACCCCCCAGATCATAAGGCAGCACGCTGGTCTAAATCTGGAGGATGCTGTTTTGCAGATATGGGTTGGCACAGATGAAGCATGAGAACTTAAAACAGTTTGGTGGGGCAGGGGAAGAGCTGGGACACGAGCACATTTGGCACACAAGGAGAGTGCATGACTGGGATCAAAGTTTTACCTTCCTGTATCAGGTTTATTCAGATGCAGAGTGCAGTTGCACCTATTAATACCAGTATAAATATCTATATTGAACTCTGCCTGCAAAGACTTCACTTGTTCTGTCATTGCACTTCTGTTCCCTGTGAACGTGAAGTTACAGGTTTGGCAATTCAGTAAAGAAATGCAATGTGCAAGAGATGCACAGAACTGGGAACGTTAAATTCTGCGCACTAAACCCCTGCTTTCTCACATTCATTAAAGGGATTGTTGCAATCCAGCGCTACTCTTGCACGGGCTATAGATAAATCTGTTCTGAACCAAGCAAAGTGTAGATCCTTGAGAACAGTCACCCCACAATATTTAGAGGACTGCAAATTGACCTATTCAGTGCCTTAACAGCAGTCATTTTTAGCTAAAAATCACAATCTGTTCATGCATTAAAGCGCATTGAGGCAAGGATTAGATCTTGGGGCTAACCAAATCCCCTGCTTCAAAACAAGGTATGGCAAAGCATTGCTTACCCGAATCAGATTAAGTACACACAGCATACATGATAACCCAAACTTCAGCTCTTTGAACCACTGTGTATGATTAAGTCCCAGACCAGAAGGCCCCCGTATGCCATCACGAAGTCTGGTGGGACTCCACGGCAATCCTCAAGGCAACACTTGCACTGCAGATCCACGCTGGACCACAGCGTTGATGTCTCCACAGTGTCCGTATCTTGCACGGCTCTCATCATAAACCATCTCCCCACAGAAGCAGCTCTGAAGAGCTGTCACGGTACGTTCAGGGTGATCAAAGCTGCAAGCTGATTCCCACAGGACATGGGATTGTCAAGGCTTTGCCTCATCTTTTATCATCTTCCTCCTCCATGCAATTTAAGGAATGAGAAGCCTTAGCATCTCAGGCGAACTACCTCCTTCCCAGGCATGTTACAAGTATAATTACGACTTCTAGAAATACTACAAGGAGTTTTCTCTGGGTGTTATGGTGATTACTTTTTAAAATAAATTAAAAAGGAATGGGTTTTCCATAGATATTGATTACAAATATCCAGTAATGAGCATTCCTTTCTCACTTCTCTGTCAGGACCTGCTGAAGTTGCCCACCCCTTCAGGTAGCTATAGTACAGCTTCCAGGTGACCTGGAGTTCACAAAGTGTCAAGGAGATTCAGGGATTAAGAAAGGTACCGGGTTTTGCAGTAATTGAAGGCTTTTTGCCCAGCCTCCAAAACTCACAACTGTTAAAGCCTTTCTGTAATAGAGAGCAATAAAAATCAAACTTTAAAAGGGAGCTACGCTAGCACTACAGGTGGAGTAAATACAACAGAGTAAGACTTAAAAGCCCAGAAACTACAGCCACAGCTTGCAAACTTACAGGAAAATTCTGCCCACAAGAGACCCTGCAACGGTGACATGGAGATTGTTTGTGGTTTTGAGTGAAGTCTGTCAGGAATTGGGAGCATGGGAAGGCCCCATCAGCTTCAAAAGCACAGCTGGTAGCTATGTCTAAATGTAACCAGCAGATTTCCCCACCTGGCACGAGTGTTCAATGCTACCTTAACCATAACTACAATTCACCCCTAGTGTTCTGCATCTCCAGCCTTGCAGTCGGGCCACTCGCTGCATGAGAACCAGAACAAGTACACGGCACCACCTAAGCTTCTCCCATTGCTGCTTTCACAGCAACCATCCCTTCCAGGACAGCTCTGGTAAGCTAATCTTCCCAAGGAGATCTGGGTGTTGCCAGAGCAGTGTTTTCCAAGGTAAAATCCACCCTCCTGGATGCTCCGGTGCAAGTTCCTACAAGTTGAAGCCGCTCCATGCCCAGCAGCCAGCTCAAGAGGAGGAAACAGGCCTTTTTGTGCATGCTGCTCCTTCTCAGAAGGCTTTGAGGAAACCTTTTTCAGCATTTGAATTTAAGGAATCTTCATTGTAATACCACATCTTTTATTCACCACTTGTGTTTCATAACCAAGAACACCAAACTGG